TCTCGGTCTCGGTCAGTCTCGGTCTCGGTCAGTCTCGGTCTCGGTCAATCTCGGTCTCGGTGAGTCTCGGTCTCGGTAGTCTCGGACGAGACTCTCGGTCTCGGTTATGTTTCTGATTAGAAATATACCGAGAGTACAGATTCATTAATATAGATGAGAAGTTTTCATTTTCAAGTATGTCCAAGACTATAAGAAATTTATTGTTAACTAATTCGTTTGCTTTCATGTAGCTATCCCTACATAGGCACGGTTGGATTCCGAAAGGAGAAAACTACATTTTATTCAGATTTGATGGAAATATTGAAGTTTTCAAGTAGGATTGGCTTGAATTTGGTCTCTTTCTTTCCTGATCGAACTTTTCCTCAGTACGTAGAGCTAGATAAAGGTAATGTGATCAATTAGCAATAAACGACTTGTAGAGTCTTGAAAGTTTTTGAAAACGAAAAACCCTTGTTCGTATCAATGAAATCTCAATATCAGTAAATCCGTGGTCTCATCAAGCTTTGATCTTCAACTTTTTGAAAATTTGTTTTTGATTCAAAAAACTTAATATATCGAAGTGTACGCGTCTTGTGGTATTATCTATATATATAAAGAAGAAAGTTTGTTTGTGTGTTTGTTCTTCATGCATTTGGACACAGTACGCGCAAATGCAACGAAAATTTTCAGGAATCCTCCTCTCATCCGGAAGAAGGTCAACATCCACTTTATTTTCAAAAAGAGTTGGTCCTTCGCCCAGAAAAAGCCTGCCTATGTTGCTAACCAATTAGATTGCAGTATTCGGTACTGTAGAACTACTGTTGAGCACCACTTCGTGAACACACAGAAACATGGAACCAGAGGTTTTTGAGGATGGTGAGTTCGAATCTGGAGTCCATTTGCCTCGAAATCTGATTGGTTGTCCCGAAACCAATAGGAAGTCAGCTCTTAAGAAAACTGACCAAAACACTTATATTTTCAGGAAAATGATGGGGCAAGGGGTTTTTGGACATGATAAGTTCGGATTTGGGGTTCATTTGCCTCAAAATCTGATTGGTTATCTGGAAACCAATAGGAACACAGCTTCTAAGAAAACAGACGAAAACGTTAAATACTTTCAGGGAAATGATGACGCAGGGGTTTTTGGACGTGATAAGTTCGAATCTGGGTTCATTCGCCTCGAAATCTGATTGGTTGTCCAGAAATCAATAGGAACTTAGCTCCTCAGAAAACAGACAAAAACACTTATACTTTTGGGAAAATGATGAGGCAGGAGTTTTTGAACGTAATAAGTTTGAATTTAGGCTCCATTTGCCTTGAAATCTGATTGATTGTCCGGAAACCAATAGGAACATAGCTGCTAAGAAAACAGATGAAAACACTTATATTTTCGGGAAAATGATGAGACAGCGGTGTTTGGACGTGACAAATTCGAATCTGGAGTCCGTTCACCTCGATAGCTTAGTTATTAGTCCAGAAACAACAGTTACCAACTTTTCGAGTAAACGAATATCATTGAGCGGTGGCAAGAAAGACATTAGGAATCGGAAATCTGACGAGCACGAAATCTTGCTGGACGATCCGTGGCTTAATTGGGCGAGTCATGTCAAATACACAGAGTTTTAGAGAAGCTGATTCTTTCAAAAAATCATCTGCGGTGGGAATTTCGAATAAGCGGTATGTTAGGCTCAAGTTTTTGTGCGTCACAGATTTCGATGATTAAGTTCTTAAGAGATCTTCTGCACGAATATCTTTTTATCTGTCTTTCTTTGCAACCAATCAAAATTCAGTGTGTTTTCAGCAGGGCATAGCACGATATACTGTCGAAACTCTCCAAACCAATAGATATTGTGAAACCAAAGTTCCAGACCAAGTAGATGTGGGGTCATGTTGGGTTATTGATAGAAGCGTGGTTTCCTTGCGTGTTTGTCGGAAAATCGATTTCCGAAATTGGTTTCCTCTAAATATAGAATCAGACAACTACAGGATCGGGACTGAAACCCTGGTCAGGTGAGACAAGAGTCGGTCGGGATTGGAACCTATTGAGATAAGTATGTGCTCCGAGACGCACTTGGAAATATAAAAAAGGCTATAAAATTTATACGAGCTACCAAGTTCTTCTCGATGTACACATATAACGATTGAGTGTTGTTTGCATATATTAACTGTGAACTTTCCCGGGCAACGCCGGGTACTTCTGCTAGTTTTATTATAAATGTAGAAAATTTCTGATTTATGAACTAAATGATAAAAGGAAAAACTTGTATAATATTAATGCTATATTATTACTTCTTGCCTACTTGTGTTTTTTCTTACAGTAAACAAATTAGTACTCATGCTGGTTTTTTTTATGGATAATTTTTTCTTTCATATTTTTTTTTGACAAAGATATCTAGATAATAAATTGTAAAATGAAATATTTCTCTCTCTTATAAGAATTATTATCGATGAACTCTGTACTGCCTGGTCATAGGCGTAGAAGATTCTGTAACTTAGAGTTGAGACAGTGCTTCAATGTACAAAAAATTGTTAATAATAAATGCGGAAACTTCGGATTTAAATCCGAGAGTTATGTGTACTTCAAAAAGTGAATCATACAAATCAATCATCCTAGACTGTCTGAATATCAAAATTATACTGTGAAATCTACCATTTAAAATGTTGATTTCTATTACGCGTCGCCAAACCAATAGGGCATGGACCAAATACAGCTCAAGTTTGAACTCTTTCCCTTGATTTACCCTAAGAAAGTCGTTTTTCCTATAACTTCATTTCTATTGGTCACTGCACAACTAATAGTATTTCGATGGAAGTGCAGTACACATTCGAGTTCTCCGTATCTGAAAACCTCGAAGTATCATCAGTGTGATCGGAAGCTAGAGCTCGATTTGTGGGTCAATTAAATCGTGGACCAAAATATAACCTAGTTCTCTTTAATTATCCTTGTCATAGGTGAGTCAACCTTCTTGTTTCTCTATGCTTTATATATGATTTTGTAGCTCTTGAAATTCTCTATCGAATGGTATATAATAATTGGGGTTTTATTTGACTATGATAGGAAAAGTCTTTTACGAAAGCGGCGATGGGTCGATTTTTCCACAGAAAGCTATAGAGAAAAATGGGTATTTTTGAAATAACTCAGGAACGACTCGGCCAATCCTTCTCATCTTCGAACTCGATGGAGATATTGTCAATACTAAGCTGTGTAGAAAGTTTCATCGCAATCTGACTCTGCTGTCAAAAGTTATCATGTAAACAGCCAACCGGACGGACGGACACACTGACTATTCTATAGTGTACTCACTTCTTGAGTACACAAAACTATGATTCAGTTCAAAACTAATATCAGATTCAGAATCAGCGTTAAAAACTGAGTCGATTTATGTATTTTGTGAATAATTATGAGCAAAAAATTTTTTTCGAAAAATCCCCGTACCCCCCCTCAGGGATGGTCTCGGCGAAAATCACAATTTTTTCGATAACTCAGTCATTTCTTGACGGATCCTTCTCATCTTCGAACTCGACCGAGATATTGTCAAGACTGATCTATGTAGAAAATTTCATCGCGATCTGACTCTCCTTTCAAAAGTTATCGAATAAACGGACGGCCGGACGGCCGGACACACTGACCGATTTTAGTAGTGTACTCACTTTTTGAGTACACAAAAATGTACTAGATTTCATAAAAATCTTTCTGCTCTCTTGTATTTTATAAGAATGACAATGATTAAATCTTTTTGAGATACACGTTGAGTTCCAAACGTTACGACTAAAGCTGGTACCACACTTTCCTTTGCTAAAGAGTGATATGTACATTAATTTTAATTCTGACTAACATTTTGGCATTTAGTAAAATTGAGGTGTTGCATGCAAGGATGAATATTTTTCTCTGCATCGAAACTACGAAAGTAACTCTAAGTTTTATTGTGAACTGTTCATCTCGGCTTAATCTAACTTCTTGCACAATCGAACAGACCGATCAGGTCTAAGTATAGACCAAATTCGAAACAGTCTTGGCTTAAGAGCTAAAAAAAAAGAAATTTTGATCGACACTTACACAATCTTAAACTTGGTTGGGCTGTCGGTTTTTACAAACTGATAGATAGAGCCGAAAGAAGCATTTCGCAATGAAACTCTCCTTAAGTCTCGTGGGCTATTCACACCGAAAATTGTTCATCTATGTGAAGAAATCTTATATCACTACGTAATGTGACGAGACTCAATGGTACCGAAGCCGAGACCGAGGCAGACCGAGACAGACCGAGACCGAGACAGACAGAGACCGAGACAGAACGAGACCGAGACCGAGACAGGCCGAGACCGAGACAGGCCGAGACCGAGACAGATCGAGACCGAGACGGAACGAGACCGAGACAGACCGAGACCGAGACAGACCGAGACCGAGACCGAGTTCTCGGTCTCGGTACATCCCTAGTGGTTTACAGGTAATGCCTTGTAAAAATGAATCATCAAAAAGTTGTTGATAGTGATGTAGCATGAGGGAAACTTTCATTCTCTTGACAGGATCATCGATATGTTCAACTAAGGGAGGAATAGTCTT